CAGAATTTGTTTTCCGAGTAATCTTCTGAGGGCAGCAGATATGAGGGGAAAGACCTGAGCAGCTCAAGACTAAGCCTGGGCCGCTCATCGCCCATGCAGAGGAGAGATGTGCGCTCAGCAGAGCTCCCACACGCTGAAGAGCTGTGCTTCCCAAGTGCAGCGTCTTTCTCCTCGGTTGCTTCCCTGCCTCTAATCTGTACAGCTCAATAGGGGCAGCTCTCTGCGCACAGCCCTCAAGTTTCTCAGGGAAGACCAGGGATCCTGGGACCCAGCTAGCCTAGAAGCTACAATGTTACATCAGTTGTTATTTCTTTCACCAGCTATCTGGAGACTCACACATCTATCTATATAAAGGTGAGGAAAGCCTGGTATCCTTCTCACAGGACAATGTGCCCTTGGTCCAGCTCTAGGGAGCTGCCAGGCTATTAGGTTTGCTTAAGGATCCTTCAGTGGGCACCCATCAACAGTATGATTACCATTCCTGGGCATGCAGGGTTCCTGCCACCCTCAGATCCCAAAGAGAGAGAGATCTTTTGTTCTGTCTTCATAACATTTTTGGACCAAAATGACAGGGAGAACCAAATTTGGGTGCAGGGCTCACTGGGCAAATCCGTAGTGGCTCGAGTGCAATATTCCTGGACTCTGGCACAAAGATCTTTCCACGCCATTCCTCTTTCCAAGGTGTCACCTAGAGTACAGCTGTCCTGCCCAGGGTCTGAGAATGAGGTTGACAGGAGCTAAAATATCCGACTAGGCTTTTCTTTGTGAGATGGAGAAGTGTGCTGGATTAGCAGATAAGCCTTATTTCTCTATTTCATGTGCTACTTAAAGCCTGTTCTTAGCCTGACACCATCGAAGCCAAGTGCCGTGGAACAGTCTTGATGTCCACAGACTGCCACGGCCACTACTCATTTTCACCCCTGGGTCTCTGGGGCCACTCTTTTTAGATGAAAAGAAGACCCCTGTCTCGGCTGCAGCAAGAGCTAAAGAGGAAGTTTAGTTTCCTTGGGAAGCCACCCAAGACTGATAAGAATTTGGCAAATATTGAGCAGACAATCTTATAATGAGGATATAAATTAACAGGAGTAATAAGGTCGGTCTATTAAAATCATGAGTTTCATTAAGAACTTGCCAAAGCTGGGTGGCATTCCCATTTACTCCCCAGGAGCTTCCCTTCTAAAACCTACCCGAGAGCCCAAGACATTCTTCCGTGTTTCACTTATGATTTCTTCTCTACCTGATAGAAATCATTACTCTTAAATCATTTTAAAGACAAGAGGTTTATTTTAGAGAAGAATCAGAGGTTTCCCAGCTACTGACAGAATTTTTCATAATATAACAGCAGGTCAAACATGTCAGGATTAAAAATGACAGGGACAACACACAAGGAGGGACAGCTCCAACCACTAATGGTCAAGGTGAGCAGCACACAGATGCAGAAGAATAAATTACGTACTTCAATAACATCACATCCTGCCTAACAACTGCTGTGGAATACACTCACTCCTGTTTAAAGACTCAATTTCTCCTTCATGCCAGACAAATGGTAACTCGTTAGAGCAATTTAAACAGATACCGATAAAGGAAGTTTTTGATTAAGGTCATGAATCTGGGCTGACAGAAAAACGATGGTGTTTCAGGGGAAATAGCCTATTTAGGGAAGAATTAAACCTGGTGGAGGGGAAGGCACTTTCGGCTGAAGGAGCCCAGGCAACTTCCAGAGCAACACGCTATGGGAGGGCTGGGAGCCCACACAAGATGAGCAACTGAGGAGAAAAGGAAATTGTCTCGGGGTCTAGACAAACTTATCCAGGATAAGAACAAAACGACTGCCATCTGCCTCTCCTTGCTTAATTTCCAAGAGTTTATTTAGGCTTGAAAATGCCTTCAAACTCCTCTCAAAATACTCAACACATGATGACCCAGTGGCCATGACAACAACATCCCTTTTCTTCTTTAGTCTGGTCAGACGTCAGTCTCAGACTGGCAATGCAGCTACCCTGTCAATAATGCAAAATAAACAATAGATCTAATAATAATAAATAAAATAAAATAAATAGATCTATTAATGAGTCACCACATTGATCTAGCAAAAGAAGCACAAACAAGGCCCAGACAGACAGAAACAGCAACTACTGATTTTTTGTTTTTCTATCTGAACTCCCTAAAGAGCATTTTTCAATCATCTATTCAACAGTATGTCCAGGTAGAAGCGGTTGGAGAGGAAACACACCTGCTTTAATGCATTGTCTTGAACAGGAAAGCCACAGAGAGCTCTCAGGGGATATGCAGTTTCTGGGGGGACAGAAAACTACCAGAGCACACTGTCCAGGGGATGTCTGAGAGAAATCAACACAGAAGGAGATGATATTAATGCAAAGTACTTAATGAAATGATCCTCTGCAGACTGGAGCAGGGGCACAATCAAAGAGGTGAAGCATTTTAAGGGTTTTAGAAAAGATACCACTGTTGCTTTCCATCGGTTCTATTCAGTAAATAGTTCAGTTCAGCTGCTCAGTCGTGTCCGACTCTTTGTGACCCCATGTGCTGCAGCACGCCAGGCCTCCCTGTCCATCACCAACTCCTGGGTTTACTCAGAATCATGTCCATTGAGTCGGTGATGCCATGCAACCATCTCATCCTCTGTCATTCCCATGTGCTGAGCCATTTATTCCATGCCAGGCATGTGGCTGCAGGGGAAGGGGCACAGACAGCAGTCTTGCTGATGAAGACATCAGACACTCACCCTCAGAGTTTTCTGTGGAACTGCCCCTCCCTAAAATAAGCTGACCGGGGAAGTTAACAATGTTTGCCTCTGCCTCATTTTTCTGCAAATCAAAGGGACCAAATGACATATACAACGTACTGGCCACCTCTAGATTTCCATTCTGTACACACAACAGAAACAGTCAAACCTGACTGAGTCATATGGTGCTACTTCTGAAAAGGTTAAAGTCATTTGGCAGAATTAAGGGGAGTTTGTGGGAGAATGGAAGGCAGGGGGAATAATCGCAATTCACAGTCACATTTTTAAAAGCTTGAAATTTAAATTAGACTGGTTCCCTTGAAAGAGGGTTAAGTATAACCTTCATCTCCTGGGAGTCATTCTCTCGACAGCAAATGTCCCCCAAGATCCACTCAGGACCAGATACCTCCACCACCTAAGTATTCCCCTAGGCACACATTCCCTTCCCCCATGCAGGCCATTTCTCCTGCTCAAGACTGAAGATTCTACCTTCAAGTTGCTCAAATCCCAGGTGATAAGCAAAATCCCCTTCCTCAACAGTTGCCAGAAGCGATTCGCCCAATATACTTTTGCCTTCCCAAATTAGCAACCTCAATGACATAAACCCTTTCCCACCCACCCTAAAATCTGTGACAACTTCAAAGGAGCACCTATCCCCACACAGAAGGTTATAAGAAGAGTCTCTTATCTAGCGGGGATCAAGGCCGCACCAAATGCTTCATTAGCTGTCTGCAAGGTCTGTCAAGTTCCTCACTTCTGGACCAGCTACTCAGTACACCTGATGAGTAACCGCCCTTCAATTAGCCAGCCTCTTGAGAATAAACTGTATTTTCTATCACCCTCAAGGGGATGCTTCACACTATTTCAGTCACCAATCTGTCACCAAATTTCATTCCAATTTACCATTGATCCAGCAGAGGATACAAAATGCAAGACTGCTGGGGGTACTGGGCGTCCAAAACATCATATCCACTCAGCACTGGGAACATGGCATTTGGAAACAGGGTCTCTGCGGATGTAATATAATTAAGATGAGGTCATACTGGATTCGGGTGGGCCCTTATCCAATGACTGCTATCCTCCTAAGAAGAGGGAAATTTGAACACAGACACACACAGAGGCAAAGACTGGAGTTATGCTGCTGCAGGAACACCAGGAACTGCCAGCAACTAGCAGAAACAAGGAGATGGCAATGGCACCCCACTCCAGTACTCTTGCCTGGAGAATCCCATGGATGGAGGAGCCTGGTAGGCTACAGTCCTACCAGGACTGTACAGTCAGACACGACTGAGCGACTTCACTTTCATTTTTCACTTTCATGCACTGGAGAAGGAAATGGCAGCCCACTCCAGTATTCTTGCTTGGAGAATCCCAGGGACGGGAGCCTGGTGGGCTGCCGTCTATGGGGTCACACAGAGTTGGACATGACTGACGTGACTTAGCAGCAGCAGAAACAAAAAGAGGCAAGGCAGGATTCCTTCTTACAGCCCTGGGAGGGAGCGAGGCCCTGCTGTAACCTTCATTTTAGACTTCCAGCCTCCAGAAGTCTGGAGAATATATTTCTGTTGTTTTAAGCTACCCAGTTCACAGTACTGTTAGGAAGTTAATACAGCTGGCAACTCAAGGAAAATGCAAACAGGGCTACTGCTAATTGTTTGGTATTTCAGGCAAGCTCCGAGACAGAAAGCTTCACAGAAAGCACCCGCGGAAACTACACATCTGTAACCCTGGAAAACAAGCAAAGTAAAATGCTCGTTTCAACCAGATCAGTGAAATCCTTAAAGCTTAATGCAAACAGTGAACACAGGGATGCTCCAATTCCTTCGGGTGTTTCTGACCATAACTGCCAAGGGAACTAAGAAAACAGAATACAAAAACCTGAGGGAAGTTAAGCCAGATCACCACAGCAAAGAACCCAGCCCTGTGAAAGAGCCCCAGGATCATTAACAGCTGAGAGCAAGGGGCACTCAAGGCTCACCACTACATCCACCTGGCTGAAGCCAGCAAGAGTGCCACTCACTGAAGGACCACAACAGAACTAAGGCACACCTGTAGAAAGTCCAGTATTTTAGTTATAACACATTCCCAACTCCTAACAGGAGAATGGCAAAAGAGAAAGTCTACAGCCGATATATCTCAGTAGAATTTGCAGAATTTCCCTCATGGGGCAGTGGACTGTATTCTGCCCAACTGAGGCATCAGGGATTCAAGCAGCCAGATGGTCAGTGATCTCTGACCAAAGAAGCAAGCTTACCTTTTGCTGCATGATTGACAGAGGAGGGAGGCTCATCATCAGATGTGGAGCTGAGGTTCAGGGCAAGCTCAGCAACTCTTTTCTTCTGTTTCTTGAGAGGGGCAGTGCATTCTGAATCATTTCTCCTCTTCATTGTTACTGCAACCATAAATCCAGATAGTCAGCTGCCCTGGTCAGAGCCACTAGGATCACAGCAGGGAATTCCAGAGAGTAAACCATTAATGGGATGAAAGCTGGCAACTCCAAACAGCTGCCAGTGCCAGTGCTTGAACAGCTTCTTCCTCAGAATGATATCCAGGAAGGCTAGCCAAGCTCTGGTTTTCAATAAGAGCTGTCAGTTTTTACTGGAAAATGTGGTGCTCACAGACCCAGACGTCTCTGGGCCACTGGTGTCAAATACTAAAAAGTCATGGATCAACTCCATAAGCCACAAGGGAAAAAAAGGCCTTAGGTACTTGCTATTCTATAGTTCTGATGCAACAAGGGACACGTGTGACAATAAGTACACTGGAAATTAATCATGAAACCTAATGAATATCAACAAATATTTTCAAGGTGAAAAGACCATCCCAGAAAGACTACTCCATCGCATTATTTCACCAGGAAAATTAAGAGATTACACAATATGATACAAATACTGGTTTTTGGTTTAGTTCAGGATGTTTGAAAACATGGGAGAATTGGGAAAGTTTTTGAATGGAGTAAGGAACGGAAGCAGTGGTTGACTTGACTGAAAAAACGGAAGAGTGGGAAAGTTAGCAGGACCAGACTTATTATACCATAGGACTCAGGTACAAAACCAGCAATTTTAAGAACAGGAACCCGCCTCCACAAAAAAAGAATGGAAGGAGGCAAGGCACAGTGTCACCATCATCCATGCCCGTGGGTAAGCATGGGAAACAAAAAGGAGGGGGAAAATGAGATGGAATGAAGTAATAATGAGATTCCTGAAATCATTCCTCAAGCAATGATTAAATTGAAAAACAAGAGTAGGTGAAAACAGAGTGGTTTATACACAACTGTTGGCTATAAGAGGACTCAGAAAAGAGAAAGTACTCAAAAATAAGAGCAAACAGGTGGGTGCTCAGCTGGCCTGCAACTCCTTGGGGAAGGGGAGCTGCCGGGGCACAAAGGCAGGCGAACAGCATGGGTCAGGACAGCAACAGAGTGCTGAAATCCAAAGATATCACTGATCTCTCAAGATACAAACATGAATCACGTTTCACGTCTCTCCAGCTCAAGGATGAGCCAGCCAACCCAACACACAATCTCCTCCTTTCTAAGGAGGCAGCCTCTTAACTAGGCACAGGCAGGAGCTATCCTGAGGAAGATGGAAGAACAGGAGATGCTGAACAAACAGAAAGCAAAACCAGGCTGAGCTACATTTAACTTTGTCAGGGTCTTAAAAAGCAGCACCCCCCCCCCCCCCCACCCGCCCCGGCAATCACCACCACCACCACCTCCAAGGCCCAGAATCTAAGCTAAGGGCCCTCTGATTCCTAGCACCTCTGGGGGAGACTAGAAGCACAGGAAACTCAAGAACTGTGTTGAGATGGATGCAAGAAAAGGAGTGGAAACTGTGCAAAAGGCAGGAGACACTGGTGCTCCGCCCCTACACATCCTGGATTTGGACCTTCCAAACCACCTTATCCAACCCTCTTTCCTCTGCCACTGCAAGGAACTGAGGCCCGAGAGGGGAAGGCCGCGCAGACAACCGACCTACCCACCACAGCTCAAGTGACCTACACACCCATAAGAATGCAGGGAACTCCTAAGAGGGAGGCAGAGGCCGGCTTCGACTCACTGCTCTCCCAGGGAAGGGGTTCAGATCCCCTTTCCATCTCCCCAGGCTGGGTTTCGCACCGCCACCCCCTATCACGAGAGGGAAGAAATGAGCTCGCGTCCCCGCCCCGGCCAGCCTTCCCATTTGTAGACAACGTGAGTGTGTGAAGAATATGTGCGCAGAGACGTGTCAGCAGCGGCTGGTGGACTGGAGACGGCGCGGGGGAAGAGACGGGGGGTATAAGGGAGGACGGGAGAGAGAAGGGGCGACGAGGGTCACGACCGCCAGCGCGGGGGCCGAGGCGGCGGCGGCGGACGTGAGGATGCTGAGCCCCGCGCGCCCGCCCGCTCGCCGCCCCCCCCACCCGGGGCCGCGCGTCGGCACTCACGCTGAGGGAAGAGGGCGACCTGCCAAGGAGCGGAGAGGGGGGGGCGGTTAGGCCGCCGATGCCGCCGCCGCCAGGCCTGGCCCAGCCACTGCCAGAGCCGCCGCCTCCTCCCTCAGTTTCGCTTCCCCACTAGCCCGCCCCGGTCCGCTGGCCGCCTTGTCGCGCTCGGGTCCCGCCCTGCGGGGCGCGCAGCCTGATGACGTCAGGGCAGCCTGCTTCCCTCCACCCCTCGCGGGCCCTGGCCCGGGGGAAGACCTGCTAGGCTTCGGGCCCGCCCACCCCCACCCTGCCCCGGGGCGGTCCAGGGCGCCTGCGCAGAAGACCCGACGCGGAAGGACTATAAAAGCGAGAGTAACCAGCCATCTAGTCTTCTGGCTCTAGAGGACCAGAAACAAACGTGAAAAACAGAAAAGGCCAAGTGGCATCGCATCAACTCCTCTTTCAATCTCATTATTGTCTTAATTTTACAGATTAAGAACAAGTTTAGAGAGGTAAAGGGTAAAATGGTTTGAAGGCACACACACCCAACTTTGTCCACTGCTGTTATCCCCAACATAGAGAAACAGTGCAACCTCTACAGATATTGAAGTAAGGTCCAGAGGAAAAGGAGAGCTGCCTAATGGCCTCTTACCGTACGGACACAGATGGCTTCCCATGCCAAGCTCCTCTTCTGATCTTCAGACCAGTGGGGCCAGAAGTTTGCTGAGCATCCTCGGTGTCACCTTGTTACCGGAATCCAAGCTTCCTCTGCTCGCCCCGGGACAGGCCAAAGACCGGAGACCAGCGCTTGAGGCAAGGAATGCAACTTCATTTGGAGAGCTGATTGACTGAGAAGCTGGCAGACTATTATCTCAAAATAACTATCTTGCCAGGTTTTTTTTAATAGATCAGCGATGGGGGGAGGTGAGGAAACAAAATTAAAAGCCCATTGATCTTGCAAAGATCTCCTAGAATAGCAAGCCTCAGACAGTGGATTTGTTACATTTCTTACCTCTTGCCATCTACAGGTGGACAGGACTCTGAACAAAGGCGCTTTAACAGGCAGAGGAGCAGGATTCTCTGAGGCAGGACTTACAAATGATTATAATAACAAAAGTAATGAAAAGCAAGTCTAAGAAGCACCTCCAGTGTGGAGTCAGAATGGGCTTTTCCCTGCAACAACTTCACACCCATAAATTCAAGTCTGACCTTATGTTCTCCCATAAGCCTGCTCTTTTTCCAGTGAATGGCACTGAGGTAGGAGATGGATGGGCCCCTGGACTGGAAAGCTGGTGTTTTTCAACTGTAGTAAAATTGAAGCTTTGCTTTCTCCAGACACTCCAAGGACAGAAGCTGAGCTGTGCTGAAATAAAGAGATAAAATCACCACTCCTGAGATCAAGGAAAACTTCCCTGTCTGCACATGTGCAGGAAGGCTCCTTAGGGGTCAAAAAGGGAGGGGGCACAACCCCATAGTAAGTGTGGACAAACCCCTACAGGTTTCTGTGGTGGAATCCATCTTAGCAAAAAGTTGTGCATGCATGTTGGGCGGGGTTCTAGAACAGGTCAAGTGTGGGAAAAGAAATGAAATAACTGACCAAAGATTAAAAAACAAAAACAAAAACAAAAACAGGAAAGGACTTTCCTGGTGGTCCAGTGACTAAGACTCCACATTCCCAATGCAAGAGGCCTGAGTTCCATTCCTGGTCAGGAAACTAGGTCCCACAAGCTGCAACTAAGACTTCACAAACTGCAACTAAAAATCCTGCATGATGCAATGAAGACCAAAGATCTGCATGCCACAACTAAGACCTGGTGCACCCAAATAAATAAAACTGAAATTAAATATTTTTTAAAAGGTTTATTTTTGCAAATGAAGTTAAATCTTCAACAGTTTTTTTAATCAAGGCAAGAACAATACTTTTTCAAGGAATACTAGAATTCTTCCAGTATGTTTGAGTTAAACTTCAACTGTAGTTTTTTGTTCAAAGATGAATGAATTCATCTTTGGATAGATCAACATCTTAACATCTTTGATTCAGTTTATTTAAGAAAGAAATGGACTGCATATCTGTGGTTCGACTTAGAAGCCATAAGGTAGAAATAACTTTTGAAAGACTTCTAAAGTGTTCCAGAAATTTGCAGATTTCTCTTTTCAAAGAAATTTGACAGAATTTTATATTACAACTCTGTCTTAGAAAAGCATATCTTCAGTTTCTTCCTTATTAATCACTTAACTGAAAATGTTTTTTAAATTTTTTAAGAAGCATTTATAACATTGACCTCATAACATTGAATTGAAAGGTTTAACTCATCCACATGATCAAAAGTATATGTCAGGTAAGCCATACATGAAAAACAAAACTCTTGTAATGTCCCAAGAGTGGATTTTCTTTTCCTTCTTTGTTTTTAAACTTTCTGTTCAAGTAAAACTTCTGCCCTTAGTTTGAAAATGTGCTTGAAGGCATATCTTTATGAAAACCAGCAAACTTCCATGTGGTACAGAAGGAATTTATGTTTTGCTCTCATATCTTTACAAAACAAATTTTAAATGCATTTGACTCAAAGATCTGCCTCTGATAAAGTTGATGGCATTTGTGGCTATTGACAAAACCTCTTTTTCAGGGCTGTTAGAAGAATCTTTTTGCCAGTGCTTGTCTAAGTAGAAAGACAATGAGTGGTATGAAGAGTTTCCTTTCTTATGAAAGTAGTAAAATGAGATGCTTTACCAAGCATCTCAGGGGCTCCATCTGTGCAGAATACAAAGTTTTCTTCCCAACAGTTTTATTTGGTAAACAATATGTTTACTCTTTTCAAAATGTTCATAGCCTTCCTTTGTAGTTTCCAAAAGGACTCACAAGATAAGAATTCTTCGTTGATGGCATCAGTATGAGTACAGGATACAAAAAGAGGAAGCTGGTGACATTGAGAGCCACATCTTATTTAGATGCCCTTTTAGGCTGGGAAAATGTAAGATGCTCTTTCAGTT